ACAAAGAGCAACCCTTATGCCATACTGTCTTACTGAATGTAGTAAAGACTATACAAACTACTATCACAGAGAGCGTACGATCCGTTGCTTAGCTAGTTTTCAACCTTATCCAGCGCATTTATATATTTACCTGCTCTTCTTCGACTCAATACTACCTTTTATATATCTCAGCATATCCCACCTGAACTTAGAAACCATCTCAAGAACAGGCTTGATGCCTGGCACACTAATGACCAAAGGCCAGAGGAGTTGTGGAATGCTGTCAAGGGCATCACACCTGAAGAAGGCCAAAGGTCATCAAAAGGCAAGAAAGAAATTTCAAAAAGACTTTCAGAAGAAACTGACACGTTCTCTTGAACATAGACTAGCTAAAGCTAACAGAAGAGGTGATGAAGTCAAAGAGAACAGAACATTTCAAAGGGCCGCTGGAGAAGACAAACTCCAGTGTTAGCATGAAAGGTGCAAAGAGCTGGAGTCAGAAAACCAAAGGGAGGAACAGGCTCAGCGTTTATCGAGGTGAAGGAATGGAAGGAAAACCTCAAGCTTGTGCTGCCGGGCTGAGGGACTCCATGGGCAAAATATTGAATAATGAGGCAAGCACCAAAAGAAGAAATAAGCAGTCACCATACCAAACAGAAAGGAGCCCTGGTGGCACAGAGGTGATGCATTGGGCTGCTAACTTCAAGGTCGGCGGTTTGAAACTACCAGCTGCTCCTTGGGAGAAAGACCGGGCTTTCTACTCCTATAAAGAGTTACCGTCTAGGCACTCACAGGGCAGCTGTCCTGTAGGGCGGCTGTGAGAGGGCATCAACTCGATGGTGGTGAGTGTGGTTTGTCTGGGAATCAAAAAGAACTGGCTGGTGTTCCGTCATTTCAGAAGGTAGCATGTTAGCAGCCAATCGTATCAGAGAAAGAAGTTCAAGTTAAGCTGAAGGCTTTGGTGAGAAACAAGGCTCCAGACACTGAAAATACCAGCAGATATTTCAACAAACGAATGCAATGCTGGGAGCACTCACTCATCTATGCCAAGAAATGTGGAAGGCAGTTACTTGGCTAATCGACTGGAAGAGATCTAGGAGGGAGTACCCCCCACCCCAAAATAAAAAGATGGAATTTCCCCCCCAAAAAATGTATGGATTTAATTTTTTTAAATCATTTTATTGGGGGCTCATACAACTCATCACAATCCATCATACATCAATTGTGTAAAGCACATTTGTACATTTGTTGCCCTCATCATTCTCAAAACATTTGCTCTCTGCTTAAGCCCATGCATCAGCTCCTCCTTTCCCCCCCCTCCCTCCCCGCTCCCCCCTCCTTCATGAACCCTCGATAATAAATTATTTTGTCATAACTTACACTGTCCGACGTATCCCTTCAGCCACTTTTATGCTGTCCATCCCCCAGGGAGGAGATTATATGTGATCCCTGTAATTTGGTTCCCCCTTTCCACCACCCTCCCTCCACTCTCCCAGTATTGCCACTCGCACCACTGGTCCTGAAGGGATATCCGCCCTGGATTCCCTGTGTTTCCAGTTTCTATCTATACTAGTGTACATCCTCTGGTCTAGCCAGATTTGTAAGGTAGAATTGGGATCATGATAGTAGCGGGTGGGGGTGGGGGGTTGGGAAGCAGTTAGGAGCTAGAGGAAAGTG